ACCAAAATTTTACTGTAGAAACAATATGAAAAAACCTTGTAGTATTTTAGAAGTTGAACACATAACACAAGTTTACTTTGAAAGTGCTTAACCTCATAACATACACTAAATACAGTAAATTTGTTGCAGTAAGTCAACTGCTTTCTGAAGAAAAAAATCAAAACTCTAGCGAGACACCTCCTTCTGGGCAGCACCTCACTTGTGCAACAACTGAAGAAAAAAGCATTTTCAGAGACAGATATTAACTGTTTCTGACACTCCTGACTTCCCTTATCTGTCTTTCAATTCAAAACTTTCTCTGTCTTATCAGGCTGTTGGAGCTGCTGTTCCATGGGGACAGGGTAGAGTAGGAAACCGAAGTCAAACAGCAGCATGGATTCAAAATTGTGTGACTTGTTTTTACAGGTTGGGCTTCAGTTTTGCTGGTTTTGCCCCTTCTCCCCAGTGATGATAGCTTCATAGATCAGTCTAATCAATCCACATGGCTGAAGATGCATGTAGAGAACCCAGAAGTACATTACTGCCTGGCCACTGTTCCGGGCTGTTTTCATACTTCACAGAACTGGCTCTGCCTGAGGACTGATATGAAATCTTTACACTGAATGGTTCAAGACTATAAAGCAGAGGAATCTACAGGACTTGTATCATCAGATAAAGATTCTGTATCCTGTCTTCATGAAGATCACACACTTTGCTAGTAAACAGGAAACACAGATGTAAGAAAAATCATATGCCATGGGATTCATTTGTCCTCTGAAGCTCTCCTCCCTGACTTCCTTCATTAACAATATCCTTCTAAAAATAAATAAATTTGTTCCTACAACATGAGATTAACACTATGATTAATGCCTAGGACGACTGACAAAAATCGTGAAGCTTCTTGGCATTTCTGTCAGAGATAAGTAATGCTCCTATTTTTTTTATTGTTAAGATTTCAACTGCCTTTGAAAAGCAAACCTTACAGCCCAAATATCTAAGGAAATCTCAAACAAGATCCAAGATTCCACCTTCTCATCTTTCTAACCAGTTTCTAGACAGTGTTTTTTTCTGTTTAGAAGAACAGAACACTACTTTACGGTCAAGAAACACGCAGGAAAAAAATACAGGAACTGAGACTAGCATTTGCAACCAAATTACTTGAATTTGAGGTGGCTGGCAGACTTGCATTACTGAACTGAACAGAGCAAGTACAAACTTGAAAGTCTGTACTAGTGATATTTATTTGAACTTTTTTCTTGCTAATTATGCTGTAAGTTTAGGTGATAAATTTCTAGGGGAAAAGAGAAAGATATTGTACTGCCAACAGCAGCGCTTACAGCTAATAATTTTGAAAATAACAGACATCAGTAAATGGACTAACTTTGCTCACCTTTTAATTACAAACACCAGCAGCTAAAATACCTATATGCCTTTTTCATAGCTACCTCTTTCTATGCCCCACCTTCTTCTCCTCTCTCACTTTTCATGTAACTTTAGCAGAAATGCAGAGGCACAACTAATGTCTAAGGAAATACCACAGCTATTCACACTTCTGATTATGGTTAAATAAATGCACAACATTTGAAGAATCCTCCCTAAACCCACACTGATCCAATTCAACAGTTACCTGATTTACACTATTCAATCATAGACAAATAATTTCTTAAACAAGGTGTATCCATTTAGCAAACCAATCCCTCTATTTTAGGGGATAGGTTTTTATGAGTTCCCTTTAAAGAAAAGAAGAAAGTGTATTTTTAGAAAAGGTCTTTAAGACAAAATTTGTGAAACTCAATTCTTGCTTCAATCAATGTTTGATGGAAACCCTAACAAAGCAAAAAAAAAATCTATCAACTTACAATTATGATTTGACATTCAGTGAAACCTTGCTTCTTTTTCATATAACACTAGGGAAAAACCCCAGTCAGCTGCAAGTGGAGTACGTTTAGGTGAAAATAATCTACTTTGTACTTTCATATAGCATTCCAGTTTCTTTTTCCACAAAAACTGAAAAGAAAACCCTGTTCTATCACAAAATACAAACAAATAATACTGCTACCCAAAACCATGCTGCAGTCTAAAAGAATATTGCACCAGGGTAACAAATATGAAATACGGCCACGTTGTCTTCAAACGTAGCCTACAATTATAGCAATTATAACATTCTGTATTATTCTCTAGAATAAACACCTGTACAATTGGAACTTTTACTCACTCTTTAAAACAGCAGAGATCCAAACATGGCTTGTAAGCAAGAGGATGAGGTAGGATCTCCCCCTTTAATTTGCCATTTCTGCAGAGGGAGATTTTTAAATAAGAAGTTACTTTGTTCTTTCTTCCCCCAGTCACCCCTAGCTGCCAGCAGGTCTGCCAAATTGCCAAGCATCCTGCCACAAGTCCATACTAACAGTATCTGAGCATAACACTCCCACCAGGCTGAATACAAAACAAGAGTATTAAAACATATCACAACTTTTTACTGCATTCTAATATGTTTTAGCCCCTGGCTGTGGGTACAGATCTTCAATAGTGGAGATTTTCAAGACAGAAGTTATTTTTAAAAAATTCAGAAGGCAAAGTAAACCACAAAAACAATTCCATGTCAATCTATGGAGTATGCACAGAACTTTCTACAAAGGCAGTGAAGTTTTGGATGCCCCATCCCTGGCAGTGGTCAAGGCCAGGTTGGATGGGGCCCTGAGCAACCTGGTCAGGAGAGCACGAGAGCTGGAATGAGATGATCTTTAAGGTCCCTTCCAACCCAAACCATTCTATGATTTCTATGATAGCTGGCACCTTTTCCTACCCAAGTTACCGTTTCTGATTCAGATATTTCTGCTTCTTTCTTCATGTGGTTCAGTTAAAGAGCTGTCAATATTCTACATCTATCGTGTCGCAATACCTTTAGCAAATATATGAAAGGCAAATTGTAGCTGATTCTGTATTCTAACAGTCTATTTTTTCCTATCTATGTATCTTTCTTAAGTAAGTGTTTGCAATCATTCAGTTTCCATCTGAAAACAGCTGTGGAGTTTGGCTCTTAAAATTTAATTCAGTCCATGCAACTCAGCAGAAGGCTACTGGTGTCCACAGATAACATCCCTAACAGATTAATATCGCTGATAAATTAATCAGAATTATATGAGTGACAGATTAATCAACATCATCCCGCACATTTTAGTACCTCACCATGTTTAAGAGCCAAAATGAAAGTAACTTTTCAAGTTATTCAGATGGAAACCCGAAGGTACCAGACATTTCCACTGTCAAGTGAGTGCTGCGTTACCTGGAGCCGCAGCAGCCCTACACCAAGCACTGTTTCCGCCTGAATGCCGATGCTCACTCAGTGATGGGTTATTAACAGCAGCACCCTTGATCTCCGAACATCTGCGATGCTCTCTGCACCCCCCCGAACACTGCAAGCATCAGAGCAGTCTTTAGGAGACACTCATGAAAGTGAAACCACACAGCTTTCCCGCTGCCTCCTAAAGCTGGGATACCTGTGCAGAACCCCAGTTATAAGCTGCCCCAGGCTCCAAGCAAGCCTGGGAACACTGAGCCCAGAAGAAGCAGAAAGCTCCCGTTTACCTTCTCGGCGATGCTGTACAGCACCTCATCCATCTTCATGCACGTGGGGTCCCAGTCGTGCCCGAAGCGGATGACCACGACCCGGTCCTCCTCTGACAGGATGGCCTGGTCCACCTGCCACCCATTGTGCAAGTGCGGCAGCATGTACGACATCCTGGCGGCCGGCTGCGGAGCCTGCGGGACGACAGGGATGCCCATGCAGCTAACAGCCCGACCCCTCCCCGGGCCCCCTCGGGGCTCCGGCGGGCACCGAGCGCCAGCACCGAGCCCCTCCCGACCCGCCCATCCCGGCGCGACCCGTCCCTAGCGCACCCCGAGGGCGTCCTTCCCTCAGACACGGAGCGACGGCAGCGCCGGGACGGGCGGGAAGCGGAAGGGCGGGCACAGCCATGAGCGCTTCCGGCACGGCGCGGGGCGGGCCGGACAGCCGCCTTCCCGACGGGAGGAGACCCCGCTGCCGAACGGGCGGACACGGGCTGGTCAGGGACACCCACGTCCGCCCTCGCAGGTGGGATGTGGAGCCGTGCCGTGGGGATCGGTGATGCCGGCTAGCACGGGGAGGATGAAAAGAGGTGATCAGAGCCGAGATCTCCTACTCTCTGCTGCTGACCGCTCTGATGTCAGTGCATTCCCTGTAACCTCCGTGGGATTTGATCATGAGATATGGTCAGAGAAGCTGTGGATGCCCCATTCCTGGAGGAGTTCAAGGCCAGGTTGGACGGGCTCTGAGCAACCTGGTGTAGCGAAAGGTGTCCGTGCCCATGGCAGAGGGCTGGGTCCAGGTGCTTCTTTAAGGTCCCTTCCAGCCCAACAATTTTGTGGTTCTGTGCTGTTGCATCTCCTGGCTGTGGGAGGTTTTCTCACTGTATTCACCCACAGCAATGACAATTGTCATGCCCCCGGCCCCGACTGCTGCACTGCCTAGCCGCTCCCAGACTCGCGCTGGGGTCCCATGAGCTCTCGCACGGCTCCAGTGACCAAAGTGCCACTACGGGAGTACTCTGGGAAAATGTTGCAGTGGAAGTGGTCAGCAGCAAAACCAGCACATTCCAGCACTGGGTTCCATAATCGAGCTGGCCATTGGCATAGGCCATCCCAGACCAATCTTTCCTTAATTCCACAGCAGACACTAATTTGAAAGGTTAGCTTGCAGCAGGCAGGGACAAAAGCATAGTTTCCAGTATAAAAATTCCCCACAAGCTGCAGCCTGGCTGTGGGGAACAATGTAAATTCGTAGCAAATAACTTTGCCCCACAATTGCTGAGCTCTCCAAAAACTACCCGAGTCCTCGTCTTGCTTTATCGCCTTTTTAGGACGTCCGGGGAGGGAAGAAGGAGGGGGAGAGGGAAAGGAGAGGCAGCCCGGTCTGGCCGCAGACAGGGGCAGAGGCAGCGGGGGCCGTGATCCCCGTGCCGGTGTTTCCCTGGAAGTCGCCAGCCCCGGAGCCGGCGGTGCCCGGGCAGAGCAGGGTTAAGGGAGCGGGGCTGGGCAGGAGCGGATGTGCCCGGCCCCGAGCAGGAGCCGTGAGCTCCCGGCGCTTCCAGCTGCCGCGGGATCGAGTTGTGAAAGGTGCGACGTCAGAGAGAAACCAGCCCTGGTTAGTGCTTTGGTTGTGCTCAGGTATAATTAGTCTTCTTCTTTGGAGAAGTTAGTGGAGGAATTAATGCTGGATAACGCAGGCTGTTAACTTTAACTGAAAACTGGGCTAGGAAAAATTACGTCGTTTATTTTGCTATGATTTGTTTAAGTCCAAGGCGATACAACAGTGCCAGCCAACAAATCTGCGAGTGAGTGAAGCTCTGCAGGAGGAGTGAGTCAAGCTCCACAGTTGAAATAAGTCAATTTCAATTAGCACTGAAGTTAATACTTAAATGTATTTGTTCTGTTGTCTCAATTTAATCTCATTTTTTCAAAGTTTTCTCTGCAATGCTAGGACCAGAACTTAGTGCACTTACCTTATATCAATTATTTACTATGATTATGACTGTTTACCTACATGGAAGCAGATAGTCTTATGTAAATACAAAAGGAGAAGAGACAGCTTTAAAAAGAGAAAAAGAAAAAAAGGAACTTAGTGATACTGCAGATGGTAATAGTCCAAAACCAAAATTGTTGTATCCTTGACAGGTGTTACATTTAGCACACTGGACAAGACATCTGATAACTGAATAATTATGTTCAGGAGCAAAGCATCGAGTCTGTCGAAACTGATTCCCTCGATGTTCAGCCAGTCAAATTTGGTTTACAAATTTATTCATCCAGTTATTGCTTCTCATGGACATTGCTGTCACAGAAATGTGATTTACAAACAGAGGTACAGGACTCTCCACCTTAGTGCTGGAAGGCGAACAATAAGCACTAGGACAAAGGTTGGTATCTGGAGAGCCCCCTTCCTTCTGTGAGGTTCCTTTAAGTGTTCTTAGATTCCTGGCATGAGTGCGATTTTTTAAGATTGTACCTGGGGCAAGCAGAACACCAGGTGTTGGACCAGTGCTGCAGGCAGTGAATGGGTCACAGGTGCATCAAACACAGCTGGAATGGTGGCAGGCTCAGCATGCCCACACTCACTGAAAGATCCATCAACATGCCACTAGCCGGCTTCTAGTGCACCAGCTATTTTGTTTATAGCTAGAGGCTTCCTCCTGGGTCATCTTTCTGGTTCCGAAGTGTAGAAAGTGCTTCCAAGGTGAAAGCAAGTCTGGTTCTGGCCATCATGTGTGGTATATTATATATAATAGGGTAGGAGGTGGTGATGAAATCAAATGGAGTAATACAGTGCTGCCTCACTGGCATCTGCCAGTCACTTGATCATGTCTGGTGCCCAGTTTTAACAGCAAAAGGTTTAGCTGCTCTCCAGGATTACCAGATTCTGATCATTTATGAAGCTGGACAATGCCATCACAATATGACATCAACTCCTCTTTTATTCTATGCATCATTCATTCTGCAGCATAAATCTGGTTTATCCTAGTAATGTTGTGTGATACTCTTAAGAAATACAGACTACACCTGGCAAAATTTGCACAGTTTTGACAACTGCATGTGACTAACAACTTCAGCTGGCAAAAAAAAAAAGATGAGATGTGCATAAAAACATGGTCTTCCTTTGCAATTTGGTTGCACTGTTCACCTCATTGCTTTGTTTGCTGTGGTTGAGAACCAGATAGTATTATAAGAGACATTGTGGTGAACTGCAGACCTGTCCTAGCACGGAGGCCCCTTCAAGCCCATGTACAGCAGCAGACTGAAACTGCAGCAGAAATGCACATCAAGGCCAGGATAAAACAGCAGTACTGGTGCTGAGATTGTAACCATTTAATAGATGTGGTTGGGATAAGTCTGAGTTTGCTCAGGACAGGCGTAAATATGGTTGACAAAAACATCCAACCTACATTGACACCTTTTTGTCACAGATTTCAGTTCTGATTACTCACAGAAGGCTTTTGTGAGAGGAGTGAAGCAGTAGGACAGCATCTGACCAGCTGACCAGCATCGTGTGCCCAGAATAAATCAGCATAGTGCTGTGAATATTTGTTCTGATTCAGGTAGCAAACCATCAGGTTTCCTGGACACAAGTCTAGGAGATGGAATGAGATGGAGATCAAAAGTTAGTAGAGAACAGCAAAAAGAATTGTAGGAAATTGGGCACAGCTATTGTTAAGATATGCAGGAAATCTTCAACTACCACTTCTGCCAATAGGAGCTCTAATTAGATGTCTGGTTGTGTGTGGAGCCCCTGTCTTATTGCAGAGTGCATTTGCCAGAGTACTGTAGAGAGGACTGGGCTCAAAACTCTCAGGGCAGAGGAATGTTCTAGCATGAAGGACTGTGTTATCAGTGGTATCTCCTCTAGTGCTCTTCCTCAACAGTTCAGCACATAGGTGTGCTAAATTTTGCGTAAGTTCAGGTACACATCTGAATGTTTAAAACAGTGAAGGCAAGCAGTCCAACAGCTATCCAAGGGTGGCCCTTCATTGTGCAAATTTATTAGACGTAAACCATCCTTGACAGATGTTTGTCAGACCCATCTGAGCCTCATTACCTGTGGCTTCACCAACCATAACCAACAGGCAAGAAACTTTGTGTAAATTTCTAGCAGCCTCTGTTTCATAGCACTGTTTATAGAAAGGCATTGGTGAGTAAGCTACCAGAAAAGCTACTACTTTTGTATTAAATCAATATTGATTCAGGAGTAAAATGAAACTCTTTGAGAAGAACAGCTTGTAGGACTGGAGTTGGATGTAAGCGTGTGGATGTTCCTTGGTGATATGGTCTAAATCAGCACTTGGTAAAAGTACTTCGAAGTTTTCTGCCATACCACGCTAGTACCAAGTGACTGTGGATTAAAAGCACTATTGAGCTCCATCCGTTTCCTGATCTACACATGTGAATTTAAATTATAACTTTTAAAAGAACATCACTGCTCTTTCAGGGTGTTCTCCTAAACAAAGGAGTATTTCTTCTATTCCTCTGTTGCAGGTCATGTCAGAAGGAGAGTTGCCCTCTGTTTTGATCCTGGATATAGGAGGAACTCATGGTGTGCTAGAAGACCTTGCAGAACTTTTGAAGAAACACTTTCACCTTATCACCATGAAGGAATTTCTTGGAAACAAAGAAGAAATGAGGAAAAAAATCCAATCTGTTTTTGTGTTTGAGTGCAGGCCAACTATTGACCGCGAGCTTCTAGAAAGCCTGCCTAATTTAAAGATAATTGCAAACTCCGGGGTTGGAGTGGATCACTTAGACTTGAAAATGATCTCAAGCTTTGGTGTAAAAGTGACCAACACCCCACACGCTGTGGCAGACCCAACAGCAGACATAGGAATGGCCTTGATGCTGGCCTCTGCTAGAAGACTAGTGGAAGGTAATGTTTTCCATTTTCTTGGTCCTAGCTACTCCTTTAGCATACCTCGCTTTTGCTGTGGTAGAGATGGTCTTTCTGAATCAATATTTGGGATGCTTTTACAGGGAAAAATTTTCAGAGGCCTTAACTTTCAGAAGCATCTACTTCTCCTATGTCTCACTTCTTTTTAGGGCAACAATGACAAGAGTAAGGCTTTTTTCTGAATTATGTGCTTGAAAGTCTTGTGGTATCCTGTTTGGAATAACGTCTGGGGCTTAATTCTTCTCTGGCTGTTCACTGGGTGGGTTGTTTACAGCTGTGAAAACTGAATACAGAGTGCATCCAAACTGAATGTCACCACTTTCTGTTTCCCCTTGAAAGAAGCTACAGGAAGATACAAAGCATTAGAAAGGAGCTACAGGAAGATACAAAGCATTAGTGGCCACATCTCCAACTCCAGAGTAGTAATTAGTATAAATTCTTCTTTTTCCTACCTTTGTGATGAGTTTGTCAAAACCAGTAAGTTGTACTTCCTGAAGAGCATCAGCATTGTTTTTGAAATAGATGATAATGTTTTTGACCAAGCTGTTGTAAGTTGTACCACCAGCATTAGTTTGTGTCCCTAAAAGCAGGTTTTTTCCCCACGCTGTTGCTATGCAATGCCTTTCTGGGGAAGGAAGGTGTCAGTAGAGACTTTCACAAGAAGCCACCTCTGTCTTCAGGGACTCATGGTCTTCTTGTCACTGCTGCTCACATCCCAGAGCATGAAATAACATCTCTTTCCCAGTGATGTTTTCTCACTATTGCATCTTTTTGGACCTCAAGTTCTTTGTGTAAAAGCGGACAGAGATCCCTGGCTGAGCTGGAATCTGAAACCTTCACCCCTACTTAAGCAGTGAGATTGGTTTGGGCTGTGATCCAGGAGAGAAATTATGAGTTTTACCCCAGCTGAAAAAAAAGCGAAGTCAGTGCTTGCCAGGTGGTTTCAAAGAAGCTATTTTTGAACTTCCAAGAAAACACACTAGGTGTGGAAAAGTTAATTCCCCAAGGAGAGACTCCCTCCAGGACAGTACGCAGCCAGGATCCCACTGTGTTACTGGCTTTAGGCCTGGGTGCAGGAATTTGCACCATCCAGGCCCTTATATAAACTGGTCAAAATCAACAAAGGTGTTTTGTTAGGGGTGCTCGAGAGCCCCACTGCTGTGATGGTGATTAACCTTTTCTTTCCCCCAGGCCTCCATTTATGGCTGATTTGTACCCATTCAACATGTATTTACACGCAGGCTGCCACATTGCTGTGTCTCCAGACACAAAGTATTTTGCTGTTGACTGGCTGGGAGTGGAAGTAACCAGAGCGACACTTGGGATCATTGGGATGGGCAGCATTGGATACAAAGTGGCTCAGAGAGCCAGGGCCTTCAACATGAGGATCCTGTACCATAACAGAAACCGGAGGTAAAGGTTTCTGCATTTCTGGTTTCTGCATTTAATCGTCCAGAGGGCAGTGACAGAAGCCACAGCTCTGCTCTGTCCCCAGCCTTCCTGTGCACTTGTGGCAGCTCTAAGCAGTGTAACAAGCACCACCGTGCCACCACTTCCTCACTTTGGCTCCCTCCTGCTCCCTTCCGGAAGCAGTTCCGCCTGCACTTGCCCTGTCCTGGTTAGTGACTACCAGTTTGAAACAAGGATTGGTAAGCATTTGGGAGATGTTGTCCAAGCAAACCAGGTCTTGTGCCCTCGTGGTGTCCCCTGTCCTGTCAGGCTCTTCTTCAGGCTTCTGGCAGCATCCCTCAGCCAGTCTCCAGCTTCAGCCAGTCTCCTCAGCCTAGCCAGATCACACATCACACAGGCTCCAATGACAAAGGCCTTAATTTCTCATGGATCTGTAGTTCCCTTTCTTTCACACTTCATTGCTTTTCAATCACAAGTCCTAACCAGCATGTCAGACAAGGAAAAGCTCCACAGGAACTGGCATAGACACAGGAGAAAAAAGCAGGGTCTGACTGCATCCCCAGCCTCCTAACCTCATATTGCCTGCTATGTGCTGTGCTTTCACACATACATCACTCCTCCAGTGTCTCGCCACTCCTGTAGCCGCTTGCTCCCTCTAGCCCACATCCTTTCTGCATCCATTCTACCAACTGTGCCTGTCAATGGCTTATCCTTTATGTTGGTCCAAACCTCTCAGTTTCTGTGCTTTATGGAACTCTCCTAGGGCTGACTGATTGTTAAACTCAGAAATAGTTGTGTTAATTTGGGAATTTGTGCATTTTTCCTTCAGAAGAAAGGAGGAGGAAGAGGCTGTTGGTGCCCACTACTGTGCAAAGATGGAAGACTTGCTGCAGCAATCTGACTTTGTTATGTTGGTTGTGAACCTGACTCCTGAGACTCACAAACTGATTGGGAAAAAGGAGTTGGGGCTGATGAAACCCACAGCTACTCTTGTAAACATCAGCCGAGGTAGGAGGATCTGAAATCACTGTTTGTGGCTCCACACTTAAGGTCATGTTTTGTCTGATTGTGTTGATATTCCCCTCTCCAGCCTCAGTCTGTGATATCCCTCTGTTGTTTGAGTCATGAAGTAGCAATAAGTCACACAAATGTGTGACTTACATGGATCATATGCTATTTCTTCAAAGGTCCTATGGAAATTAGGGATACTCAGCAGATGGTTAGTTCTATTTAGTCTTATTCTAGAGACAGCGGGTTTTAGTGGAAATAACTGAAAGGTTTATCATCAGCGAGGGAGAACAGAGTACAAGGGAAAACACTAAGTAACATTTGGAACAGCAGTGTAGAAAGGAAGCCTCACATGGGATGACAGATCTGTTGGCACTGAACGATCATATGAGAGAGATTATCAGTAAACAAAGCAGAGAGATAAAAGAGTGGAAAGTCTGCAGGATTAAATGATTTGTCTATAATAATACAGGAAGTGTCAAAATGAGAAAAAGACTGAAACTGGTCTCATCCCAGGAAAAACCCTATGCAGTGGACTATAATCATCCTATAATTAAAGGTTAATAAATAAAATCTTTGGTTTCTTTGGTTAATAGTTACTAAAAAGGCATTCTATTTTCTAACAAGATAAAGATCCTCTAGTTTTTCTCACTTGACTCTGGAGACATTCCAACCCCTTATAGGTAAAAACATGTTCATTAACTCATCAGAATATCAAGATTTAACTTCAATGCAGGTGCCGTTATTGATCAAGATGCATTGGTAGAAGCTCTCCAGAATAAGGTTATTAGGGCTGCAGCTCTGGACGTGACATATCCTGAGCCCCTGCCAAGGTAAAGAAACTTCTTTCCCAGTCTGTTAATCTGAAAAAGACTTTAAAACAGTCTGTTTTAAACTGTGTTCAAAGCGTGCTCATAATTTTGCTCTTTACTGGGAGACTCATTGTGTAAGGGCAAAACCTCAGACTATCTTGCATAATCATAAATAAACAACAAGTTATTCCCCTTTCCCACCTGTGTTGGGTCTTTGCCAGCCTGACTCATGCGCCAGGCAATGCACAAAGAGGATAGAGAATGAGAAGAAATGTGTAAGCAAGCATCCTATAGCTTCATGCTTGTTCTGTGCTTTGGTCTGAACGTGCTGTTGCTGAGGTTCAGTTCTTCACAAGTAGCATGGGACAGCAGCAGAGTAAGTTCCTTGTGTAAACACATTCTGTTCTTTCTGTTTCTTCCAGAGACCATCCTTTATTAAACCTGAATAATGTGATCATAACCCCGCACATTGGAACCGCAACAGTCCAGGCCATCCGTATGATGGCAGAAGAAGCCATAGCAAACATGCTGGCTGTTCTCAATGACCAACCCATTCCAAGTGAAGTGTTTCCCAAATGATGAGTGCTAGATGATGCCACTAAATCTCCTGTCTACAGGAAGACACTATTTCTTACCACTTTTAAGCTGAATAAAAAAGCAACCTGTTCCTGCACTGCTCATCATGATGCTGCAAAACTGTCAGACTTGATCTGTTCTGTTACTTACAATTTGTGAAAAACGCCAATCACTTGCTGGTTACCAAAAGTTTAATAGTAATAAAATGGTTATAAAAATAGTAGCACAAAGTAGAGCAATAAGAATTTGGACAATCAGAGTTAGGATAATAAAGGACAGTAAAAGCAAAGAATTACCAATGTAATTGGATGCTTTCCTCTTGAAAGAATGGCTCGCTAACAAAGGATTAACTCTTAAAAGCAATAGCCTGTTGCATATTCATATATCTCACACATGATGCATACATTCCTTTCCACCTAGGAATTTCTCTGGTTATTGTCAACTTTGCCCCCCTTAATCCTGTTGGCACCTCAAAGACAAGATCGAGGTGGAAGGTTTGTCTTTTCCGATAAGGGGGAAATAATTATTCTCTTGGGGATTTAGTGTCTTGTTGCTGTTATCTCTGTGCGAAGAATTTCTTGAGCTAGTTAGAAAAAGTACCTTACATCGCATAGTTTTTATTTTAATATTATAGCATAAAACTATATTCAGCACACTACTGAAAAGGATTAATGCAGTATAACTTTTTAACCTAACACATAATAATATTCATTTTATTATTGGCAAAAAGCCAATCATAAAATACGCATTTTTCACACAATTCAAAAAAATAAAGTGAAACTAATAAAAGAGATTTGTTTGAAGATTTTAACTGAGCAGTTATGCATTTTGGTATCTTCAGTCTATTTTGGTGAATAGCCGTGTTCTGTTCCTAGTTCTTGCTGCTATATAATGATAAGCAAGTGCACCTGGCAATTTTTATAACACTCCAGTCTGTTGAAGATGAATAAGCATTGATTCCCTGCAGAAGTTTGGCTTTTCAACCAATATTCCAATATTCTGTTTTTATATGAAAACAATGAAGAAATGTTCTTTAAAGTGATTGTAGGCCTAAGGTTTTCTAATTTAAGAAGAGCCCTGCTTCATCTACATGTTAAAGCAAAGCCAGTTGTTGAAAAGGTGTCATTTTTCATGTGGGTATCCTTTGAAAACCAAAGTAAATTCCAAGAGATTTAGTTTCTCCATGCAGACAAAAATGATGCTTTTATCTTGACTGGCCATGAAAGAAAGGTAGAATTACCATCGAAATCATATGGGTGAGGGTATAACCTAAAGCAAAATTAGTGATCAGTCCTGACTTGCAGCCCAGGGCCAAGCTTCTTCTTACATTCTCTTTCCTATTAATAATCAACAAATTCAGAAAATTCAATAAAATGGTTGTCACCTTCATAAAGTCAGGAAGACTTTCCTTTATTTTGCAACATGGTCAGGCACCCTGAAGGGATGGTAAAATGAAGTTCTAGCACAGGAAGTGTAGACAGGTCAAGAGTTAGACATGCCATTGGAAATAGTGAAATAATACCAGCAAGGCAACAGAATTGCTACAGGATTGCTATTCCAAGATCTTCAGCTCTTGAACACTCCCCACAGCTCTTCCCAATGTTGTTATTGAAAATCAAAGGTAGCTGTAAATAGTCTGTCAAAAAAACCCAAAGTAACTCAATTCACAGACCCTCTTGGGACCAAAACCAGATGGTCAGGGATTCTGGGGAAAAAAAACCCAACAAACCAAACAATTTAGAGTGTATATGTCCCTCTTGGAAAACACTTGCCTAAACATATGTTATTATGTTATTTTGGTAATTTACAGTAGGCTCAGGAAAAGGCTCTGCAGTCACTGGGGTCTCTTCTGGACAGGTGGCTGCAAAAATCTCTGCAACAAAGCATTTAAAAATTAACCTGATAACCCAAAGTTCATGATGTAGCTATGTAATTTATTTTCATGACAGATTTGGTAGAACATTTTTCTAAACTACTGAGACAGGGTACTTTGTGATTTCAGGGTAACAAGGGAGATTTATTGCACTATTTACTGCAGACTACTGATTGTCTGAAACTAATTAATCAGAAGTGTTGTATTTTCAGCATGGTATCAGTAATATTGTTGCAGTGCATGTTTTTGATTGTAATTCGGTCCTAGTAGTCAGGTTCATAAACACACCCCCCCCCATTTTGTATTGTTATAGCATATTTTATTACCAATGGATTGTTCCTTCCCCCCAAGTTGTTTTTTTTTGCCCTAGTTTGTTTTGCCCTGTGTTGGTTTTGTTCTAGTTGTCCATCTCCCCAAAGACCTGCCCTTTTTTTCTCTGTTCCTCCTCCCATTGAATGTCAATCCCTCCCCAAGCCTGCCCCTTTCTCTAGAAAATTCCCTATCAATTTTGTATCCTTCAAAACTCCACTGGTTTAAATTGTTCTCCTCCCTGTAATGCCATATTGGTTTAAACATTATATTCCCTACCTTATGTTCCACCCCCAGTTTCTCCCAATTGGCTAAAGATTGTATCCTCCCCTGGGGCCTCCCCCCCCCCGTTTATAGTTGGTGTATGGCTTTGATTCTGTGTCTTTCTGTCCCTGGCAGCTGTCTGGGGCTGGCTCACTCTCACTGACGTGTCGGGAGCTAGTTGGGCAGAAGAAATCTGGCACCACAGCATAATATGAAACCTTAGATCACGAGGGCAGAACTTGTTCAGACTGATTCTATGAATACGTCTGTGTGTGGGGGGGGGCACCTGTATGTATAATTGATAGCATATTTAAAAGACCTGCTTGCTTGTCTTGGTTTTCTTCTTTTGCGGTTTACAGAATCTCTTGACATAAATGTCATGAAACAGGACATGGCAGTGATTATTCTTTAAAATGTCTGGAAATAATAATATGTGTTTCTTCTGACACTTTGTGTCTTTTTTCTTTGTGCAGATCATGGGAGGAGAACTACCTTGGCTTTTGGTAAATGAAATTGGTGGCATACGTGGGATACTGCATAGCCATGTGCCATTCCTGAAGAAACATTTCCATCTCATCACCATGAAGGAATTTCTTGAAAACAGAAAGGATGTAGGCAAAAAGGTCCAAGCAATCTATTTGTGGTGGCACAAACCAGTCATCGACAAAGAGCTGCTCCAGAGCCTGCCAAACTTAAAAGTGATTGCGAATTCGGGGGTGGGGATGGATCACTTGGATCTGAAGCTTATAGCTAGCTTTGGTGTGAAGATGGCTAATGCTCCACGTGCTGTTTCCAGCACCACAGCAGATACTGGGATGGCTTTGCTGCTAGCATCTGCTAGAAGACTCGTGGAAGGTAACATCTCAATTATTTTGTGACTTCTAAAAATCATACAAGATTTGCCTGGCATTAATTTGATTTTTATCGGGGTTACCTGTAGTGCACACGGTTACATAAAATGTGAAAATGTGAGTATGCTGGCTTGGCAAACAGAATAATCAGTATTTTAATACATTTTATGTATAATAGGTATACTTAAATTATTACATTAGGCATACATAGCATTTATTTGAAGCGGGTATAAATAGAGTGTGATGGCATTACAGTGCTATGACCAAAAGTGGGGGATGCCAAAGATCAGATGATCATTGAAGTCACAGGCTGGCAGAAGAACTTAGTGTGGGAGGCAACAATGGGGCATAACAAGGCTATATAGAATCATGGAAAATCCTGAGTTGGAAGGAACCCACAAAGCTGATAGAGGCATGGGCATATTCTTGGGGACTGAAATGTATTGGTGCAGAATTGGGGCATTTAATGGGCATTAGAGAGTAATAATAGAGGCAGCCTACTCCAGTTTTTGTTAATAGCATCCTTTCTAGTTTCATCAACAATTTTTTCTTGCTATTCTGCCAGATAGACCTACCTTTGGCTTGGTTAGAAAGCCTCCTTCTTCAGGAAAAAAATCCTTCAGATTTATCCTTTTATATTTACCTGACACTGCCTTGCCATCTGTACCACAGGATTCATAGAAACTCAAAGGGCATTTGCATCCCTCTAAGTTGGTTTCTACCTCACAAAAGAGAAACAGTTTAAAAGGAAGGTTAATTTCTTGTTCCCATCTACTTAAACTATCCCTGGTGGCATTTCTGATAGCTCTGAGTTTTCTGATAGACTGAGTTTTTTCCTGAGTCATTTTTTGTATCCTTTCACAATATTCTGCTTGTGTTTTAGAAAAGCTGGCAATATCAGAAGATTGAAGTATCAAAAGGCTGTCACCTTGCAAGAAGTGCTGACACTGTGTATATAACTGTATTTTATGTGTTGTAGAACTATCCAGAATTGTGCAGGTTTAGCAGGTAATTACAGAAATTACTAGGTTGTGATTTTTAAGAAGTCACACTTTTCTTTCCAAGGAGAGTGGCAGATGTGAAGAGGAAACCCAATATCTGGTGATCTTCTCCACGAGACATCTCCAAACTCTGCATTGTTATTGGCAATAATTATTTTGATTGTTGATGAGGAACAGGGCAATATTTTCATGAGTCTAGAGCAGTAATAAAATTTTTGGAGGGATTATATCAAAAGGCTTTTTGTAGTATGGGGAGAATAAATTGGAATATCATACATGCATGTAGCAGGGAGTGATGATAGGTTAGGGCGTTACCTAGGACATTACATTAAAAATCATGTGTTTGTAACCATTAGAAGTATGCCATAGTAGCACAAGTCCAGACTCTTTTGCCTTGTTGAACCCCATTCATTTCTCATATTTTTGTGTTTTTCTTGCAGTCCATAACATTTCAATTTCTCCTAGTATGGACTACTGTGAAGCTGATATTCTGGGAGTTAAAGTTTCTGGAGCTACTCTGGGGATCATTGGCATGGGCCGCATTGGGTATAAGATTGCTGTGAGAGCCAAAGCATTTGAAATGAACATTTTGTATCACAACAGGACACGGAGGTAAAGATATGTCTTTACCCTAATTGCAGCAGAAACTCTTCCACATAGTCAGTATTTTCTTTTCAAGGAGTTGTGTCAGAAACATAGCAAGAAATGATGGAATAGGGCCAAGATTAAAACAAAAGAAAAAAAAAAAAGAATGGTTGCCTGAAATCAGTCCTGTAAAGTGTTACTCAGTGATTAAACACTTGGAAACTTAATTTAGGTTTTATACTAGAAATTTCAGGGTCTCTGGCAGAAAAATGGAAATCAAGCTTATGCTTTTTTACTTTTATCACATTGTACTGCAGTGACAACATAACTCTATTTGTTGTTCATTTTTTTCCCATATTTTGGAGTTTAGGAGGGATATTTTGGAAACAGTGGCTGGAAACTAGAAAGCATATACTTGGCAAAATATGACTGAGAGCTGTTCTTAAGAAAACCTTGTTTCTTCTCAAACCAGTAAGAATTTTAGCAAGTATTTAACTGGATTTCACCCTTTATTTCTAGTCCCTCCTAGCTTGTGTGTCTGGGAATCTGAACCTTGTTAGACATTGAGCACAGGTGCTCTCCAATTTAAAGTGAGCAAGACCCCCATGAACAACTCGAGGTCTTTGCAATCAGGCAAGGTGCAGATAATGAACAGAACAAATATTTACTGCTATAAACTATGACCTACCCTGAGAGAACTTTACTCCTCTGTGACTGGAGGGAGAAGCTGCAGTGCTAGGATGTGCCTTTCAGGGATTTTCCCCACGGGCAGACTGCCGGAGAAGGGTCACTGGTTTAGTTAGCTGTAGGCAAATCACAAAGGTGAATGAGGCCAGGAATTTTTAGCTATGCTTGGCATTCCTGTTTCTTCAGAAAAACAGCTGAGCAAACTTACATTTAAAAGAAAGTACTCCTTATGATATTTCAGAATTTCTTCACAAACCACAAAAAAAAACCGTAAAAGGCACAAATCCCTTTTTTTTAATGTGTATCAGCCTCAACTCCCTATGTTGAATATTTTTCAGTTTTTAATGTAATATTTATGTCAGAGTGCTGTGATGAATTATCAATGCACAGTGCAACAGAAATTAAAAGCCTAAAGTATATTTAAAGTACATTTACGCTTCCAGCTTGTGTGCTGAATCAGGGTGCACTCTGCAAGCTGCAAAACTGGCTTCAGTTCCATTCTGTTCTTTTCCCACTTACTCTCTGGTCATTGGCCTGAAAAAAAAAAAACAGTGAAGTGCATTTGTTAGGAGAGACATGGGTCAAAGACAAATTGAAGTTGTTTTCTTAGTGTGATCTCTTTATTTCTAGATTAGGGAGGAGATAACTTAAAGCTCTTCTCTTGCAACCAGAAGCAGATTATTGTACACATGATTTCTTATCATTGCTTCTGTATTTCTCAAAGTTCAAACAGCTAAATTTACGAAGAACATGAGAAATAGCAAGTATTCTTTTGCATTGTGAAAAGTTAAAACTAAAAATCTCTCTACTCTGGTAAATTTTTCTGCTGAACACTTTACTCTATGAATGTCTTGGGGCAGCCAGGAGCCTGGCAAAGAGCTGCCTTGCTGATTTCACTCATAAAAAAATTACAGGCTTACTGAGAGTGCCAACAGGATGAGGACCACTGCCATGCCCAGAGCATGCATGGGTGGGTTCTGGTGCATACCACTCCACTGGTTTGAGCAGTGATTGCATCCTTTGAGGTGCACAGGGGATCCTGGAGAATGGACTGTGTGCTGCCATCTGCTTCAGTGCTCAGCCTTAGTTCATTTGCAGACTTCATAAGAAGCCCTTGGAATAGTGCAGTGGAGTAGCTGAGAGAGAGGCGTGCAATCTGTCCAGTGCTGTAGGGCTTGAAGTTCTCCAGAAGGATCTAAACACTGAGCTGAGGGTAAATTCACCTTTGTTTGCCTCCTGTTTTCTATATGGATGTGATAATCAGATCCTTTAGTTTGTTTGTATTCTGGTGATACCATTGAAGAAAATGTTTCTGTGACTGAAATGCTTTTTTTCCCACTAGGAAAGTGCAAGAGGAGCAAGCTGTCGGTGCCACTTACTGCAAAAAGATAGACAACTTGCTCCAGCAGGCAGATTTTGTGATGCTGGTGGTGAGCCTGACACCTCAGACACACAAGCTGATCGGGAAAAGAGAGCTGGAGCTGATGAAACCCACAGCTACCCTGATTAACATCAGCCGAGGTACCATCCAGATCCACTGGCCGGCCTCACAGTGTGCTCCTGCTGTGTCCCACAGCCCCGTGCTGCATCCAGCACAGCTGGGGCGCATGGCGAGGATGATCAGGCATGGCGGAATTCCTCCCTCTCCCCTTCCCTTCTCTTTGCTGTCTGCTCTTTACCTGCCAGGTGCACTCAAGGACACTGTCATTCCACTCCAGGTGCAGTAGTTGACCAAGAGGCGCTGGTGGCAGCTCTGCAGACCGGTGTTATCAGGGCCGCGGCTTTGGATGTCACCTCCCCAGAACCACTGCCCAGGTTGCCGTCTCTGCTTATTTCTCAGGAAGCATGGGGGAGCCCTGCTGAGAGCAGAGGCATCCCTGCAGCAGGCAGGAAGCTGGCTCCCCAGCCCCTGGCATGAGTTTGGAGAAAAGTGCCATGAATGGGAATTGGGATGCAGCCCAGACATAGGGGCTGATAACAGACCAAAGGGAAGCCTGGGAGCTAGGAAACAGCAGGAGGCAGGGAAAGCATTTAAACCCAGTCCTTAGAATCACCCCCTGAAGCTGCAGCAGTGCTTCACTTGCAAATTGCTTTATTAGAAAGTGCAGCTTGCCAGTTTTAATGGGTGGAAGCTGGAGGTGTCCTGCACAGGCTTCTTTCACAATACAAAGCTGAAGTACTGCAAACCTCTTGGGGCCAGAGACTGCTTAGCTTCTCTAAAAAGACAACCAGGATGGTGCCTGTTGGAGTTAACTGTGGTGGCTGCATTTTGGGTCGTGGGGAGTTTGGTCTTGTTGTGTCTGTGCGCAAATAACCACAGCTGAGAATATTGCGTAAGGTGGATGCGTCAGGAGGGCTTAATCCTCTCTTCAGACATAGTTCAAATTGCTGCCTCATGGCAGAAGTGTGTTTCTGGAGAGAAGAGCTACTTATGAAGTCTTCGCATGTCCTATTACCATCCAAAATTACTTCAATATAGGTGCTCCGGTTCTCTGGGTCTAAGTGGGACTTGTAAAGTTGTATCAATTAACTGTAAATACATTGCAAAAGCTAAAGTAGACTCATCTTTATTTATATGAACAACAATAGTTAACTCTTTTTTCTTTTCTTCCAGAGATCATGCATTGTTAAAATTAAAAAACGTCATTATAACACCTCACCTCGGCATTAAAACAGACAAGGCCACCTACATGATAACAGAGGAAGCAGTTGAAAACATACTAGCAGCCCTAAATGGTCTCCCTCTACCCAGTGAAGTGCTCCCTAACTAATGTGTGAAAGGATATTACGTATCTTTTTATTCTTCTCTTTGTCTTTTTATTCTTATCTTTCCCCTGCACATCAGCTCTAAAGATCTTTTTAAATACAAGAATGTCCATACACCTCACTAAAGCTTGGAAGGAAACAGTTTGCCATGGTGTCAGTTGTGTTTATACAGTTTCTGTTGTCTAATACAAGTCCAAAAGGCAGATAAACCAACACCCAAAGTGGCAGTGCTATGCCTTTTGTTATGTAGCGTGACTTTATGAATAGTATGATTATTAATCTGTAAAATTTATAGCAAAGTTGCTATTAAGTGCAGCCAGGATTTTGGCTGGTGCCTTATGCATCTTTACAGAGCCTTTGTCTTGCAGAGGTTGTCACCAGTGCTGGCCAAAATACACTTAGTCCCATCACTTTTGCAGCTCCAGGAAACAAGACATAGCAGTTTTTCAGGCACAGCAAATTGGCTGTCAAGAATTTCAAGACTGCCCCAGGGGCCTCCCTGCTCTCTGAGGTACAGGTGCCCAGTACACATTTCATTGTCACATGTATAACCTTGAAAAAATAAGATAAATTTATTCAAAAATAAAAGGCTAAGCAATAAATTACAGAGCTGAAAAACAAGGTTGCTATACAATAAAAGAGAAAAGAGAAAAAAAATGCCTTTTCTTAGATTAATATCCTAAAACTGCAAAAAACACACAAGGCTTTTGCACATGCAAACTTTTCTCAAGAAGTGAAGAAGCAAACAAAATCAGATACAGTACTTCACATCTACTTAAACAATTGTACATGTTTGGCATTTGCTTGGAGTTTTACTCCTACATCTGCAGATATTTCAAGAATCCGGGCTGATTAGTTTCAGAAGTGCTCCCTGCCAGTGGGGTGCTTTTTAGAAGGCAAGACACATCTGCCTGTCAGTCACTGGAGTGATGAGCTAGCTTACACACAATACCTTCAATCTCACGATTACTAGAAGTGGGTGCAAAAATACAGTGGCCACATGAGAGTAGAGATGCGTCATTATAGTTCACTCCGTTGATTCAGGTTTTTTGAAATATTTTGATGTGCAGAAGTACATGATCTGGAATAAAGTGCTGATACAGAGATACTGGGAAAGCTGGCCTTACCTACAGCAACTACAGAGGCTGATACCAAATAACACTTCATGGTGGTTTATAGCCACTGAAAACAAAAGCATCACTTGGCTTGGCCTTGCCTGAAGATTTCTTGCCTCAGCATTTTTTTGCCTGTAATACAATACTGCCTTATAAAACTTAATGTAGACATAGGAAATGCATGTCTTTATCCAGCTTCATGCTTAAGCAATGAGAAATGTATGCATTACATTGTACAAAAGCCTTTTAGGGTAACCCAATACTTCAAAGCCTAATGCCAAGAAACAACTGTTATGCAAGCGCCTTATTAACACTGCAGGCATCAGCTCACCCTGCAGGATTACATGGATACCAACAGCAATATTTAATGATGGGGATGAAGTCCATAGACTATGCAATACTTCTGTCTGTGTACCCACAGACCTCACTCATTTCAGTGCTCTGTACAGTGCTGGTATATCAGATCCCTTTCTGTAAGAGAAAACTTGCACACAGCAACGATGTACATGCAGTGAAATTCAGCTTAACACACTACATGGAGGTCTATAAGGTAGTCTACAAACTAAATATACTTAGAATATGATAGTGCACTGGTGCAATTGACAACTTCTTTTCACATATGATGCTAAAGAGATAAAACTTCTGTAGAGCTGTATCAGTTCCTGACCTATAGCTTGAAAATTGGATGTTCAAGTTGCACAAAACAGCTTTGAAAATATCAATTCTCTCCACATCTAACCACAGAACACACCCATTTTCTTGACATTTGATACATATGTATGTATCATTTTTGCTTCACTGTTACTTTTTGGCTCCTCTGACTAATTCCTTCTTCATTTTGTTCATTCAAATTCATGGATTTGATATACAAAGGTAAACACTACTGTGTTGCCCTCCCAGAGGTTTTTCTTTACCTTCAAGACCAAAATGTGGTAGGCCTCTTTCCTCAGACTTGTGTCTTTGAGAGGGACTTTACAAGGGTCCTTCGATCTCAGCTGAGCAGTAAGTTAAAAGCTTACTCATTACAATCTTATCACCAAAGCAGTTTGGAAACTTTTGGTGTGAAAGAAGTAATATGTAATCATTTTATGGGTTTTTGTTTTTTTTGTTTTGTTTTTTTTTTTTTTTTTTTTTTAAGGAAGAAAATGCCAGTAAACTTAACTAAGAATCCAGTTAACATTCTATAACTCCATATTGCTAGTTAATTAATTTTTGCTTTAAAGTTTAACTGTTTGAACTTGAATTTAATGTAAGGAACTGATAGTCAAAAATCATCACCAGGATAACAAGAAGAGTTTATGGTTTTGTGTAATTGATATTGTTTTTTTTTTTTTTTTTTTGCAATTTTATAGAGGATTGGTGTTAAACTTGACTGTCTTCATGTTCAGCATGTCAAAGTGTATTTGACAGAATTCAAGATGACAGCATTTTGTAATCCATTCTTTTGAAAAGCACTACTGTAGTCAGGAGAGACACAGCAGCCCCTATGGCTGGTTATTACGTAGTGTGAAAGGAGAAAGATCCCTGGATGCTCATAGTAGTGGTGTGTCCTGGCTCCTGAGCTGCTGTGACCCCAGAAACCAGGCATCCTCCCCAGTGGATTATGACCACCTGCACAGCAAGGGGAATCGCTTCAGCACAGCTTTCATGAACTGAGAACTGAAGCTGTACTTCCCAGTGCCCATCACTGGATATGGAGATCGAGGGAGGTGATTCTTCCCCTCTATTCTGCTCTTGTGGGATCCCACCTGGAATGTTGCATCCAGCCGTGGGGTCGTCAGCACAAAAAAAATGTGAACCTATTGAAGTGGGTCCAGAGAAGGCCACTAAGTTATCACAGGACTGGAGAACCTCTGCTATGAAGATAGAATGGGAGAGTTGATGTTGTTCAGCCTGGAGAAGGGAAGGCTCAGAGGAAACCTTATAGCAACCTTACAGTAGCTAAAGGGGGACTGCAAGAGAGCTGGAGAGGGACTCTTCACAAGTAATGATAGAACAAGGGGGATGGCCTTAAATTGAAGGAGAGTAGGTTTAGGTTAGGTAGTAGAATAGAGAAGATTAGGAAGATATTGTCCTCTTTGAGGATAATGAGGCAATGGAACAGGTTGCACAGAGAAGCTGTAGATGCCCCATCCCTACCAGTGTTCAAGACCAGGCTGGATGGGGCTCTGAGCAATGTGGTCTAGTGAAAGGTGTCCCTGCCTGTGGCAGGGGGTTTGGAAATAGATGGGCTTTAAGTTCCATTCCAACCAAAACCATTCGGTGATTCTATGATACAGACCAAATAAACTTGTCAGAGAAATTCTCACATATTCTCAGCTGAAGTTGGCACAGGGCTGTAGCTGGGCTAACATCTCAGGTGTCCAAGCACCTGAGCCTACCCCAGTTGCTTAGCTCTCAGAGTTTTTGAGGGTATTCCTCGAATCATATAGGTTGGAAAAGACCTTCATGTGCGCAGTGAAATCTGTTACTGGTGTCTGTCGTCAGAGACAACTCTTCATCTTATGTTAATTCATGTGCACAGACTGTAATGATCAGCAGGAAGGGCAGACCCGTCCCGTTTTCAAAGACAGTATGGAAAACAGCGTGCAGGATGTTAATGCAAAATCCCGACTGTACTGAAATCACGAACAGCACAGAAACACTCCTACAACAACACACAATCAATCACTCGTGAGCACCCCTTGCTCTCTCTCGGCTCCCCGAGTAGCCCGGGTACCCGTCCCGTGCCCTGGCCCCGCGGGCTGCCCGGGCTGGCTGCGGGCGGCCGGGCAGTCCCGCCTCGGCGGCCGCTCCCGCTCCGCCCCCGCGGTGCGACTGGGACTGCCGGGGCGGCGGGCACGGCCGGCGGGGTGAGTGCGAGCGGCACCGCGGGACCCCGCGGGGCTCCGGGACCACCTCTGCCGGGCGGGGACGGGGCCCGACCCCCGCGGGCGGTGGCGGCTCCGGGGGCAGCACCGGGCGTGCGGGGCACCGCGGCTCCCGCGGTCCTGCGCGCCAGCCCGGGCTGGCAGAGGGAGGAATCTCGCCCGTTCCCAGCCGTCCTTCAGGGCTGGACAGAGCCCGCGGCCGCCGCTCCAGCTCCCTCCTATGTTTAGTCCCAGCCCTAGGCCCCCTGGGACAGCGGGAAGAGCTCAGCCCGTCCTGGGCAGGGAGAACTTCCCGGGACACGGCGCTCCGGGGGCGGGGCACAGAACGGGGAGCTGGCGCGGTGGTGCCGGAGCGGTGCGGGAGCATTGCCCGTCGCAATGAGGAGCGGCGGGAGGGGGTCTCGGCTTTAACCTGTGATCACAGCCTTGGCTCTTTGCAGAGTCAGCAGAGTGAAGAGTTGGCAAAGCACTGAAGGAGACGGAAGAAAGAAAGGGTAAACTTATGTTCGTGGGTAACTCCAAAGTTCATAGTTGGCAATTTATAGCTCTGTTACATTAAATGAGATTTTTACTGAGATAATCTCATCAATGATAATTGCTTAATACAATTGCAGAAGTGGCAGAATTTGCAGACTAAAAGATACCTTTTCACTCACATGGCTACATTTTTAAATTAGCAAGACTTTGGCTTAAAATATTGAACATTGAACAGGAGTAACAACTGGTTGCTCATTTGTTTGAGTGTTAGCATACTTGGTATGCCAGAAATGTTTTCTTATTAACACGATTATATAGAAATTGAACATCTTTCTGAATAACACAGGAGGAGAACCCAAAAGACTTCTGCATGTGGGAGTGGTTATCTTTAGCCAAATCCTTCATCAAGTGGGAAAACAGAACGTAATTGAGCCAATCAAGTCCTGGTTTTTAGAAAAAAGATATAATGGATCACTTCAGATCATGTCCTTTTGGTTCTCTTTGCCTTTGTAGGGCTTGGAGAGTCAGGAACTGCCCTATGTGCTAGTTGACTCTGTAGGAGGGAGGCTTGGAGTATATGAAGACCATCTTGGATTTCTGAAGAAACGTTTTCATCTCATCACCATGAAAGAATATCTTGAAAACAAGACATTTCTCAGCAAAAAGATCAGAGCTATCTATGTGTGGTATCACAAACCAGCTATTAATGAAGAGCTGCTCCAGAGCTTGCCTAACTTGAAGGTAGTTGCAAGTGCTGGAGTGGGAATAGATCACTTGGACCTGAAACTCCTCTCCAGCTATGGCGTGAAGGTGTCCAATACTCCATTTATTGTTTCCACTGACACTGCAGACATGGCGATGGCTTTGTTGCTGGCATCTTCCAGGAGACTTGTGGAAGGTAATAACTCTTATGGTCTTAGTTTTTCATAGAAAAGATGACTTCAAAACATGCAGAAAATGTGTGCTGCTGCAAAAGTAAGCTTAACACTAGAAAGAGAGGAAATAGAGGCAAAGGAAGAAGTCAAGACAAATCTGTCTTGTTGACAATAACTGGCATCCTATTTCCAAACTGGCATATTGGCAAGGTAGAGTTGTTCCTTCCTTGGACAGCTCTAAATTCAGGCCTCTTGTCCCTCAGCCCACTGCCACTTATTCATTGTAGGTGTTCATTGCAGTCTTGCTTTTCAAGCTGCAATAAAAGGGGATTAAAAGAATGTATTTTCAAGGAGCTTTGAAGCGTGTCTTTGCCAAGCTGCCATGTATTTGAGTCATTATGAACAAGCTGTCCAGAAATGTGCCCACCATGCTCTGTGTTTCTTTTCCCGGCCAACCTTGGTGTATCTGCAAGGAGGCTGGGAATCAGATGGCCTTACTGCTGCTTTGGCCTGACCTTGCTTGCTTCCTTTCTTGACAAAGAGAGGCTGGGTATGTTTCTCTCCTGAGCAAGAAATCAGTGTCAGCAGTCCTGTGTACAGTGCAGCATTACTCACTTCTTGTCCAGAAACATGGTGACAATACATTACTGCTCCTGTGCTTCTGCCGAGTCCTATGATAAAAAGTGTGTGTGTGGGGGGGAAGTAACCAGATGCTGGAACATCCCTAGGATTACATAATTCTTCTTTTGCTCTTCCAAGGCCATGAGATGGCAGTCTCCCATGACACAGAGTATTTCCCTGTTGACTGGCTGGGGGTTGAGGTTTCTGGAGCGACCCTGGGGATCCTGGGAATGGGCAAAATTGGTTACAAAGTGGCTGAAAGAGCCAAAGCCTTTGAAATGAAGATTTTGTACCACAACAGAAATCAGAGGTAAAGCTTATTGCAGTTCTAAGGCAACTCTATTTTGTCACTGCTTTTATGTGTTATTTGTACTTTTCACTGTGCTTTCACTTTTTACAGTGCTCTTTATTTTAAGTGGAAAAGTACATACTCGCATTCCAAGAAGGTCATTAATTTCCTGATTTATACAGAAAGAAAGTCAGGAAGGAATGGGAGAGATATACCTCACTGTTCTCCCCATTAGTTGGGGCTCCTGACTTCTTCCTGCTATGGTGGTGACATTGCAAAGGACTGGAAAGGAGAAAATTGGGAGGACTTAACTCCTGTGATTTAGGTGAGGCATGGATTCAGGGAGAGACATCTCACCCTTCCAAAGCCATGTGACAATGAAGGGCCAGACTTGCCTGTCTGTTTTCTGTCTTCTAGATGAGGTGTATGTGCCCTGTGTCCCTGTGCTCCCATCAGGCCCATTCCATTCTTTTCTTTTCTGGGAATTTGATGAGCCAGCAACCTCGTCCTGATACAGATTGAGTGCACCAGCAGGTCCTGCACTGTGTGGTTTCAGTGAATCAGCACTGATTCACAGCACAATCAGGCTGTTGCTGACATAGATTTGGGAAGATTTAATCCCTGCCCTGTCTTGTTTGTTTCCTCAGTAATTTTCACATTACTTACTTAAATTACTTAATTTTCACAAGACATCAGTCTTGCTTTTGGGTAGGAAAAGAATCCCCATTATTAGCAAAAACACAAATGCATTTTGTTTATCATTTATTCAGTGCATTTATGTGATACCCATTTCTTTCCATCCCCACCGTACTGCACGTTTGTGTACAGTTCACTTGGTATTGTGAGAAATAGCTTGATCTTTTTTTTTTTAACTGCGTTTCAGACAAGCAGCTAACTGCTTTGCACTACACAGCAAAGATAACTATAAAGAAACATTTTCTCTACTGGTGATTTGATATTTCCCTTGTTTATTGCTACTGCAGTTTAATTTTGGGATTTTCCCTTCAGAAAAAAGGAAGAAGAAAGTGCTGTTGGAGCTGTTTACTGTAAGAAGATAGATGATTTGCTCCAGCAGTCAGATTTTGTGCTATTGGCTGTGAACCTAACTCCACAGACACACAAACTGATTGGGAAGAGGGAGCTGGAGCTGATGAAACCTACTGCTACTCTTATTAATATCAGCAGAGGTAAGGTGCAGAATAAACAAAACTGCATTAAAGTTTGGTGGCATGACAAGTCCTGAGAAAATATCTAATATAGAGTCTGTCCCTCTGAAATTTTCCATAAATTTTCCGATTATTAGTTTATTTAGACACCCATGATCATAACTCAGTAAAATATTTAAGTGTTCCCTTAATAATAAGAAAGTAGGTCTCTGAAATGTTAGTGACCCTGGAGTGCTAGAAGTGTATTTATATATCTCCTACTGAAGCCTTTTATTTATTTAATGCAGTGTTGCTGCTCACACACATTAGGGTGGCACAGCCTACTCTGAGGCCTGGCGCTCTGTTTCATTCTGCTAATTCCCTGATGCACATACCCAGGCTTCCCACTCCCACTCCACTACACTCCACTGCTGCTTCTGCACTGTGACCATGGCCTGCCCTGCTGTTTGCCTGACCACTGCGCCCAAAAGAATACTGAGAGGACAGTAAGGAACATGAAAATAAACGTATCCTTCTTACTGTAACCCAGGTCTGATAGTGGATCAGGATGCTTTGGTGGAAGCACTTCAAAACAAAGTTATTAAGGCAGCTGCTCTGGATGTGACATATCCTGAACCTTTGCCAAGGTAGGACATGTATTTACGTTAAAATTAAAAGGGTGTATGTGTGATGTTCAAACTGAGTAAAATTTTGTGAGCATGTGAGAAGTTGCATAATTTTGTTGGTAGGAGTACATGAGGTGTGTGCACTGGTCCTGCTGAAACCATGTTCCCAATCCAGTTCCAGCCAAATAAAATTCACACTCACTCATTTGGAGGATTTGTTGCATAAAGCCCCACCAAGCTAGGCAGCACTTTGAACTCCTCTGGATACGCTTGAGTCATGCAATTAGGTTTTGTTTTCTTTTTAATTATTATTTTCCCTGGTGGCCTGTAATACTGATGAAATACTGATGAATGTGCTGTGAGTGACTAGTTCAGCATTTCTTTTCCTCTCCCAGGGATCACCCCTTGTTAAAGCTGAAGAATGTTATAATAACTCCTCACATCGGAAGTGCCACCAAGAAGACGCGCTGGGTTATGATGGAGGAAATGGCAGAGAGCATAGAGGCAGGCCTGGCTGGTCTTCCTATCCCCCGTGAGGTGCTGCCCTAAGCCAGCTTGCATTTAGGATTAACACCACCAGTGCAGAAGCAGCAATTTGATCACTTTTCGTGTCATTATTTCATGTAATTTCGTGTTATGCAGATAAAATATATAAATCACGGGTTCAATTTATTTAAATACCCAGCAGCAGTTCTGGAAAAAGTGTGGAAAACTGCAAGCGTGTTGTCTTGATCTTCAATGGAAAACTCCAGAGCATAGAGTCTTGCCTCAGTGTCATTTGCTTTCCTCGCATCCCCTTACAGCTGTCCGCCGATGCAGCAGCGAATCGAAGGACATGTAAACCTGTCTTAGAGGGACTGCCCGGCACAGCCACAAGCGCAGCCGGCGTGTCGGAGCGGCTCCTGCCGCCGCTCCGGCAGCAATCCCGGCCCTTGGGTGCGTGCTCCCGCCGCGGGCAGAAGCGCCGGAGCGGCAGGGTCTGAGTGCGTGCGAGCAGGTTCGGCCTCTCTCCCTCCTTCCCTCGCTCCTTCCGTCCCTCTCCGGGACCGGCCGGGATACCCGCACCCGCAGCCGCGGGCCCGGACCTCCGGCCGACAGGGGGAGCCGCAGCCGGAGCTGAGGTGGGAGCTCCCCGTGCCGGGCCGGGGCCAGGGCAGCAATGTGGGCAGCCCGGGTGGCCGCGGTGCCGCGGTGGTGCCGGGCCCTGCGCAGCTCCGCAGCCCTGGGCGGCCCTAGGAACTTGCTGCGGAAAATGCTGCGCAAGAATAAGTAGGTGCGGGGCCCTGCCGGGGTGGGCTGTGGGCGCTGGGACAAGGGGACTCAGAGGGGCTGTGGGGCTCGGGCCGCGGTCCCGGTGCCGCGGAGGAGAGAGAGACATCGACCCCGAGCCGCCGATCTGAGCTGGTCGGCAGCGGCTGAACATGTGCCCAGGTGGCCAAGAAGACCAGTGGTCCTGGCCTCTGTCAGCAGTAGTGTGTCCTGCAAGACCAGGCCACTGATCGTCCCTCAGTGCTCTGTGCGCTGGCCTCGGTGAGGCCGCATCTCGAGTGTTGTGTCCAGTTCTGGGCCCCTCTGTACAGGAAAGACATTGAGGTGCTGGAGCATGTCTAGTGCAGGGCAGCGGCGAAGAGTCTGGAGCACAAGTTCTGTGAGAAACTGCTGAGGGAGCTGGGGGTGTTCAGTCTGGAGAAAAAGAGACTCAGGGCGGAGGGACCTTATCACTCTCTACAACTGCCTGAAAAGAGGCTGTAGCCAGGTGGGAGTCGGTCTCTTCTCCCAGGAAACAAGTGACAGGACGAGAGGAAATGGGCTCAAGTTGCACAAAGGGACATTTAGATGGTATATTGGGAGAAATTTCTTCACTGAAAGGGAAGAATGGTCAAGCAATAGAACAGGATCCCCAGGAAAGTGCTGTAATCACTGTCTCTGGAAGTGTTCAGAAAATGTGTAGAAGCGGTGCTTAGAGACTAGGTTTAGTGCTGGACTTGGCAGTGCTGGGTTAACAGTGGGAATTTATGATCTTAGCCCTGTTTTTGAACCTTAATGATTCTCTGAATCTAAAGAAACCTGAGAACTGTTCTTTTCCACCCCCTTCCCATCTATGTGCAGCTTCAGCTGTGGGTGGGAAGCATTGTTCCCTGCACCCCAGGGAAGGAGAGCTACTTGTATGAAAACCTGGATGTTGTGGTGTTCTTTCAGGCAGGTGGAATATTAATTACACAGGGAATCCTTATTTCTCTGAGCTACTTAAAGATAAGGCTGATTTCCTTTCTTTTTCCCAAAAGAAAGAAGTTCTGGTATGACAGCCCTGCCCTGGGATCACAAACGGTAAGTGCAAGCTCTGAAGGCGATATGTTTATTTGTGCCAGGAGGAACAGACTTATGTTTCTGCCATTGATTCTAACTTGAAGCATTTTCTCATGGAAAAATAGCAAGATTTTGTGAACAAAGAGTAGGGCTCCGGTCTGACTGTGACAGGATTGCCATTTGGCTTCCCATGGCTGTTTCCTCTTCTGTACTGATCTTTCATCTTTGCCAGCATCAATGCTCTCTTGCACACTCCTGAGTACTTATCCAGATTAAAACTTCTATGAGCTTAGTTTAATGAAAAATTTTTTAATGTTTGTTTTTTCAAACAAACAAAACTTTTCAGTCAATGCATGCTGTATTTGAGAAAACAGATCTATGGAGCTTCATAACTTGCTGCAAAATACAAAAAGAACTTTAGAAACTTTGACTGTAGTACACGAATGTCAAAGACTTTGTGAACAGAAGTATTCTTTATTGAAACACTTGATACGTAGGACCTATATAAAGCCATCACAGCTGCAATAATAAAATAAGAGCTTACTTAGTAAAGTGCATGAAACTGTATATAGTTGCCTAATACAAATGTGTAACTACTGTTTAATGTGTTGTTTGTTTCTTTTTATAGTTGTATAAACCAACCAAGTTGGACTTTTTAATGAAAAATGACCTTACAAAAACAAGGAAAGAAGACAATGTGCGCTGCAGAGTTTTGAATGGTCTTATTCATAAAGCTGTGTTAGAGATGGCGACTACTTGTGAAGTCAGTCAAGAATTTTATGATCTCAAGCTGGAAATCTGCAAGGCAAGTGCCAAAGCTACAGCTTGTACTGAGCCACTCTGATTACGTTGTGAGGTTGGCATGGATGTGCCAAAGGAGCTCCCCTGGGTGTTGTGATGTGTGCCAAGAGGAGTTTCACTGCATTGCTTCTGATGTGGCAAGGTGCAGCAAGATCTGGCACTGGAATATGCACGAGCAGAGCTTTGCCACTGTAGTACCTGGCTGAGGAGACCTTTGCCACTCTAATGCAAATGCAACTCAGGCCAATTAAATTATTATTCTCCTGATATGACTTTTTTTTCTGTTACTCAGACATAAACTCTTTGTCTTGCCCTTTCAGAAGGAGGAGCTTGGTTTTGCCAACATAAGTGTATCTTTCCAAGAGTCTGTTTTTCTTTTCTTGCAGGGGTGTGAGAGTTGTCACCTGCTTGTGTGACTCCCCAGCAATGTTACTGGCAGGAGACCTAAGTGATGTATGAGATTAATTAAAAAAAAAGGGCAAGCCTAAGAAAATGTCATTGTCAAGCCAGATCTGAGAAAGAATTGAGATTTGTATGTAATTGTATCTAGTGGTGTAACAATTTGTGGATTTGAAAGGGATGTTAGAGTTCTGATACAGGAACTAAGTCAGTCTCTGCATTCTTTTTTGTTGTCTGCAGTTTTTATCATCTACATTTGCTGTTCTATAAAGATTAAATTATACCAGTGTTTGGCTTAAAAGCTTGGTGGACTTAGCTTTGATATTAGAAGCATGGAAAATGATTCCTCATAGCTGCATCTATGACAAAAGGGTTGTCATTCATGACTAAAATAGATGTTTTTTCCAGCTGAATTAATTCTGTTGTCAGACAACTGTTCAAAACTACATGGGCAAGATGAGTCTTTTGGTTGTATATGTGCAGTATCCTTCACAGAGTATTTCTGTCTCTCTAGGGCTTTGAGGATTGCTTGTACCAGATCACGTGTCTTCATGTAAAAATACTGGCGGGTGTGGGCAAGACAGTTCTTTCAGGAGGCATTGCTGTAAATTAAACAACTTATAATGTGAGAGATGGAAAGAAACAGCCTTCTTCCCAATGCAATACAGATTTTATAGCTGCACAGTATTTGTGCTGTGGGACATGGCTGGGCATAGATCACTCCTGATTTACTCATGAACTGATTGTGGCCTGATATCATCACTTCTGTTATCAAAAGACATTATCTAGTAGGGTTTCTGCAATCCATCACAGACTTCATTGTGTATGAAGTGTGTGTGTATATATAATTTTAAAGACAGATTTGCCTTTTCTCTAGGTGTCCCTGTCATCCAACTTTTCAGCATGCCGTGTGTACTGGAACCCTACTTCCACTATGGAGAATGAAAGTTACATTGAAAGTGTGCTGCGAAAGAGCGCTCCACGTATACGGTACTGCTGTGGGATAGACAGGCCACTTCCTACACCCAGGGCCATTTCTTGAGTACTTCTGACAGTCTAGACCTGACCTATTGGGATGCCTTAGGTTTTTAGATACTTGGAGTAGAGCATCTCCTGTGATGAGCCTCACAGGGAAGGGTGGTTTTGTCAGACTGGCTGCGTGATCTTTTGCTGGAGCACAGCTGGCACAGCTGGCACTTTTGGTTTCTATGCTTTCCCAGAGCAGGAGTGGGCCAAGCAGAAAGCAAGAGGAGTGTGGGTGAGGTCTCACTCCAGTGTGCTGGTGGTGGTGGCTTATTACAGTGAATCCATGTTGTTGGTATGTCTGACGACAGAACTCTCTCTTGGTCATCAGACAACAGCCTCGTTTATGGTGTCTTGCACCCTTTTATCCCCTTCCAAACCCCCAGGTCAAGACAGCTCATTGGTCTATCTGTGTGCCCCCAGACTCTGAACCAATAAGATGCCTGCATCCTAGGAGAGCTCTCATTGTCTGTGAACTTCTCTCAGTCAGCCCAGAGGCTGCTCTGTGGAGCTGAGCTGCTTATTATCACTTGAGTAATACTACTGCAACTACTGCAGTGGCTGGCTTGGCTGTGCGGGACAGTAGCCCAGGATGGGATGCCGGACAGGGGACTGACAGATGCAAGGATCTCCTTGCAGATTCACTGGGCAGTTCTGAATGCTGGGAATGATTTAGACCTCCAAAAGGGATGACTGTTATCACAGAAGTTTTTCACAATACCGATAGCAAAAAACCTCCCAAATTGAGAATGCTACCATGTATTGTGATGCTTTTCCCCATTTTTCCAACACAGAGTCCGGTGATTTTTCATGGTATCATTGAGATTTTTGTCTCTTCCTCCCTTTCCTTGGCTTTCCCTCTGCTATCCAGCCAGTCTGTTGGAAGTTCAGGACTTCACCCATGTAGCAGGTGGCATAGAAGCATACTTGTAAAGCCATTTCCTTTCTCCCTGTTTCCCTAAGCTGTGTAATTCCTGATCCAGCACAAAGCTCTTTTCTACTCCACAGCCTGCACTCTTTAAGAAGGAAAGTTGCTGGCTGGCAAGAAGAGAAGGGGACCACTGTCAATCCTTCCTGCAGCTAGCATGTAGGATAAGTTGTCTTGCCTTGCTCTGAGTGCTATATCCCCCAC